AGCTTCAACAATTGGTTAAAAGATTCTGGAAGCTATGGAGCAAGGACTACCTGAATTCATTGCAGCAGAAGTGAAAATGGAAATCCTGTCAAGAAAACGTACAAATTGGTTCCATCGTTTTGCTGAAAGAAGACAACGAGCCACCCATGCATTGGCCAATGGGGCGCATAGTAGCTGTTCATATAGGAGCCGATAAACTAGTGCGTGTGGTGTCAGTGCGAACAAAGAAAGACATATTGTCTCGTGCTATTACCAAAGTGTATCCGTTGCCCATAGACAACGAGTGAAAGTGTCTCACGAAATCTTATTTACAGAAACATTTGACAATTTATTTGTACTCCGATTAATGTATTACATTGTACGCATATATTTAAGTTGTTGAAATAATGGGTCATTTCAAGGTCGGCGGCATGTTCCGTTTGAACGATTGAACCACGGTGACCGACCCCCTAGTGTGCATCACAGGCACTAGCGAAGTGTGAGCGATAAATTAAAAAGAACCAAAAAGAGTCGAAAGCTAGAGTCAAAGAAAAGAAGTCGAACATTATATATAGTCGAACACATGTTGCCGTGCCGACAACCGACCACCATTCAAAATACGTGTAAAACCTGAGTTTGAGTGATTAAATATATTGATTAAAAAAAAAGTGTTTACAGTCCACTAACCGAAAATCAAACAATCGTACAAACACTTTGTTACTCTTTGCTGACAATAACACCGACAGAAATGCTGGGACAGTTAGTATTATTAATTCATTCGAGCATCTTATAACACTAGACGCTAAGCTACACTGGAAAGCTCATAACAAAACGAAAAAGGAAGAATTAGACATCAAATTTAGAAAAATGTATTGGCTGCTTGGACGACATTCCACCCTGTCAATATATAACAAAGTACTTCTGTACAACCAAGTTCTCAAGCCAGTATGGACATATGGCATTCAGTTGTGGGTTGTGCTATTAAGAGCAATCTACAAAGAAATCAACCATTTCAAAATAAAATATTAAGGAACATTTTTATTACCCCCTGGTATTGTAGAAACAGTGACCTCCATAGAAACATGGCAATGGACACCGTTCGCTCAGACCATTAGTGAATTTGCAAAGAGTCACGAACAGCGACTTTTACAGCACGTCAATGTTGAAGCCATCCAGCCGCTTGACAATACGAGTCAGATCAGACGACTCAAGAGGATCAAACCTTTCGAACAAGTGTAATCTGTGCTAGTCCGAAGCAGAGAACAGTGCTTGTGTACACAATAATATTAGTGTAATAATTAGGTTATTAAAAAAAAGAACCCTAGTAAGTTCTAATATATGTATAAGTTTCGTAGCGGTAGTAAGTTGGATTTGAAAAATATTACTCATTGATCAGCATGATCAGATTGTCATTTCAGAAATAGCATTGAATTCAGGGTTGGCCAAAATTTGTTGGCCAAAATTAAATAAGTTGGTATTAAAATCAACTTTTTAAAAGAATTTTCAATTAATACAATTTACAAAGTGAGTGTTTATAATATAGTAGCAGCAACAATCTGCTTATAAATGAAAATTAAGTCTGAAGTCTGTCTGCTGGGCAGCGGCATTTATAGGGGGTTGTTATCTAAATGGCTATTTAATCGGGTGTCAAGGTCCAAGTTCCTTAATTCCAATAAAAAAAAATCCTGCACCTTGGCCACTGCTTTGTCACCGTTACAAATGCTAACAATATTTAATAATAGTGGGATTGCCGCTTGTGGAAGACACGCGAACAATAAATAATGGAAGCACTTTTTTTGCAACTTCGTTTTGAAACTGTAGATAATTTGCGCCCCTCCTGTCTTTCGATTGTCGTAAAATTTGTACATAAATCTGCCAGGAGGAAAGCTGAGAAACGGGAGAAAACAATGGCCATTTTAAAGCTTTATATAGTACGTAAGTTTCCAGAAATTTGCGATGACAATTGGAATTTTACCTGAAGTTTTGATTCCTACTGGGTTTTTCGTACATCTCCTGCTGGAGAACTTCAATACGAGCCGACTGTATCTGTATCCTACATTCTCTACTACCTTTAATTGGTAACACTCCTCTGTTCTGAGGACCCCAAATATTGTTGTTACTTTGGTTATATTATATTATATAAGTATTTGTTCTCGAGTGCGTCGTCTCGGGTCGATTTAATTTCTTGTGAAAAATCCGCACTACTGCAAAAACTTGATGCTATCTAGTACTGTTTCCAATATTTCTTGGGCGATAGGTCCTACAAAACCATTCTCGCAGCCTCATCCATTTGTTCCATTGCACTTTTGCTGCGGCAAAACAACACATTTTGGATTTGATGACAGCTCTCAAACAAAGTGGGCCCCAAGAGTCTATACGGAATTATTGGTGTCGAGGAGGTCCTGTGCCACTATTCGTGGGAAAAATATATTTCAAATTGAAATACTCATTGAAATGTTTGATGCGTTTAACGAAAAAAGTATTGTATGGTATTCGTGTTTAAAGTGCTATTAAGGCATCAACCTTTCACACACGTTCATTAAAATTACAGTTTTAGCACCTACATCTTTAATAAATATTACAGGTTTGTTATTGTTGCTCTTGATCATCTCGAAAACTCTCACTCCTCAGCAGGGGGAACAAACAGAAAAGTACCTACTAGGGAAGATTGATGAATAGATGAATTATGGAAAGCAGGGGAGTGCTTTGTAGGTCACCTGGTCAGATGAGGCCATTGTGGAGTTGATGAGCGGGATTGCCAAGATCGCAAAACTCTGGGAGGAGGCGAAACTTGCCTGTGTACTGGAGATCATATATCGGGAGACAACACTGCACCGAACCGGTGTTCTGTAGTGGACCGCCTCATGTGTGTTTATTCTTGACTTTGAGAGAAGGTAGTATCCCAGGGAGTCGCTTCTCGCGCACCGAAGCCAAGCCCAAGCATTTCCCATTTTTTCCATTTCCCATTTCCCAAGCGGAAAAAAGTAGTAATCTTGAATAATAGGGAACGCCAGTGAACACGCAGTCCCTGCAAGCACTATTGGCAGCTTGTGTGACCATTTAAAATTGAGAAAATTCTGACAGGCTCGCCAACCTCACTTATTTACTATTCTGGCGGAAATCATACCTACCTTTGGGTATAGAAGAGACATACACCTAAGAATCATGTACTTGTCTTTATGTAAGCTAAGAAGCGGTCGTTTATTACCTCGTTTTTAAATTATATTATATATTTATATAATATCTCGTTAATGCACGAGTAAAATGTATACAGTATTAACTGCTTAAGTATATTTATTTACAAAATTGTGAGTGTAATTTCAAATATGCAGCCTATTTCACTCAGTACTTTATAATGAATCGTAAAATGAGTACATGTTCCTTAAAAAGAAGGAAGTAAATGTAACTTTTAGGAAAACTGGAATAGCGCAATAGAATCCATTGCAAATTGTGAAAAATCAAGGCCGCTCTTAGGTTAAGCAAAAGTTGGTTCAAAAATTCAGGATTAAGAAAAGTCTGCGGAAAACATTCCAGTGGTTTTTCATATTTTGTTTGCACAAAAATACAGGAAGTTATACCCGATTTTAAATTACTTGCATGTTTATAATTTATTACATAATTACATTTAAGAATTTGGTCGTCTCGTCTTCAGTATTAACGCTTCAGTCTTTTGGTACTGTTCAGATTTCGGGAACATGTGCTTGTAGATTGAACAGTAGAGAAGTAGTACTTCAAGTCATACGCTTCATTCGTGATGTAGAGTATGACTTGAGGCATGCGCGAATATTATATCGAATTGGACCAATTGAGCCTATCAAGAAAGGTAAATTTGAATCAATTTTAGCAATGTTTTATTTCTTAAGTTTTGAAAAGCGTAATTTTAAAACTACCTTCGCAAACTGAAATCTTAGCATGCTTATTAACCAATTTCTACTTAAACCGAGAATGAAGAAAATGGGTATGGTAAATGCCACTTAATAGATGATGGTTTTCATCAAACTATATAAAACTTGGCAAACTTTTAGCAAATTTTTCAATGTTTAGTTGTACGATGCAAATAGACGACCGAAATACTTTAAAATATTACTTATATCTTATTATTGGAAACGTTATTGAAGGAACTGGACACAATCATTCAACTGAATTCGAAATTTGCCTCGTACATCGCAATTTTTGCGTTGAACTCTCGCTCACCTGCGCTTTTTGTAAACTTGCATGCGACAACAAGGCCTAATTATCTATAATTAAATACCAGGATAAAGTCAAGTGAAATAAAGAGTTGGAAAACACGACCTTTTCGCTGGAATAGCAGATTATCGCTATTTATGTTCAGTAACATTTTACAAAGCTGCATTTTCCGATCTGGGTCAACCTCATTTACTTTCAGAACCTCTAGCATTGTATAAGTGTGCCATCTTTCTAAATTATAGCTGAATGTTATTTGATGGATTCTATTTTACACTACTACACCGTAGAAAACGTGGCGTTAAGATTTTTCTGATTATTCAGAAAAGCGTGTAATACTTTATTGATATACTATATAACAAAAATAATTTTAGAAGGGTAGATAATTCCGATTTCGAAGGAAGAAATTAAATGAACTGCTCGTCTGGCGCAAAAAGTTATATTAATTCGCATAAACGTCCTTTTGTAATAAAATATGTTAATAATATTAGCAATATTTTGCCAGCCAAATTTACAGCAAATGTCAGAATTTGCCCGTTCGTGCCTAATCGATTAATTAGTTCTATATAGAAATGAGGTTCTTTCACGTCTGCCGATCACAAAGATCACTTAAAATAATTACCCGTGGCGCCAAATCTAGTACACGAATGGTGCCACTTATACAAACGTCGTCATACCAAACGAAAGTCGCCTTTGCCAAATAGCATTCGGTGGTAATTAGAAACTTTGTGAAAATTTAGCTTTGGAAAAACAACTGATATCTAATTTTATTCAGACTTAATTACTACTGGCTTAACACATTAAAAAGAACCATAAAAATTACATGGCTTACTCACCTCTGTCTTTTGTTACTTGATGTGTTTTAATCTCATTGGTATCTACTTCTAGATCTTTAACTTGTCTCATCCTTTGCTTTGGGGCCACTGAAAGTTAAAGAAAATATCATTACAGAGAAAAAATTATATTTTATATCATCATATTTTTGTTAAAAACCGTTTTGCAATCTAGCATATGGAATGGCTTATATTTGGCAATTTAATTACACAAGATTTTATTAGTTTATAAATAGAAGACATCGATTGAACGTGAGTCATTTCACAATTAATTCAACCAATACTTCTAGGTCTCTTCAAATCTTTTTCAGATCTTGCGCTCTTTTTTAAATTTTTCTACCACCATCCAATAACCGGAATAAATCATACTGTGTTATACATTGTTCAATTCGCTTTTAACAGAGCCGATTTTTTCGTTCATAAGAAATTGGTGGTTTCAAAAGAAACAAAACCTTGGAACACATTTTGATAGTCACCATCTTGTAGAGCTTGAAAAGGTGCTATGTGAAAGTATTTTTTCTAAATATCTCAAAAATTGGGGAAATTCTTGTTTTGCAAAAACGCCATGTATAAGGCCCCCGGATTGCGCAAATTTTTCCCAATTTAACCGACTTCGTATCTCTTACGGTATACTCTCTTAGGCTATACCTCAGAAACAGATTGCAATATATTTATAAAAATTTTGAAAAGTAATAAATAGGTAGGGGGACCTGTTTTAACATATTTTTTACTATTCTATTCAAGCGCCCTCTTTGAGAGGTAAAGGCAACTTTGAAATTTTAAATGGAATGATATATTTTTGATTCTGAAATTTGATTTTGATTCTACATTAAAAACTACGTATAGTGTACAAAATTTTGCATGGTTTACTTCTCTGGTTACACAATTATCGATAATTCAAGTTTTATGGAATTTCAATACAATTAAACATGTTTAAGTCAGTGGTTTTTTCAAATTGTCAAAAATTCAATTACCTTTATTCCACACCTTACAAAATGTAACAACTTTTAGAAATTTTTAAATAAAATAATTTGAAAACGGTTGATTTCACAGCTTAAAGTGTAAATGCAAATTTGTAACCTTGTAAATTGTCTATCTAATGACACATTAATATACAGGTACTTCCATTTGAAAAACAAAATTTATATTGCGTTAAAAAGTTTTAGATTGAAGTCCACATTGTTTACACCCTGTACAATGTATTGATAGTTTGTTTCAACAGAATTCTTAACGGATCCGTGGTGATTGGAAAGAGGTTTTTTTGTCTCGTTAACTGCTTTGTTTTGCTTCTACAATGAATTTTTAGATACCACGTTTTTAAGCAAAATTTTAATAAAATGGAGATAATCTGCCAATGTCGCAAGCACGAAAAAAACAATTTAGGGTGAATATGCAGCGTTTCAAGCTGCATGCCATCACCTAATGAAAAATGGGTAGTTTTATTTAAAAAAATTCGCTTTAAACTTGCCTCGCTTTTCTGAGACACTCTGTATCACATAAGATATTTTTAAAATGTGCGTACTTTGTGCGACAACAACGTATATAGAAAACTATTTTTCGAAAGTTCAACATCAACGGAAATAATGGACTCTATCGCACTAAGAAACCACCCTGTATGTTAAAATACGTCCCCGTACCTATTTGTTATTTGCCCAAAATTTTATAAATATATTTGAAACTGGTTCTGAGATATAGCATTTTAACACTTAAAAAAGCTCACCCTTTATATCTTACGCAAGCGAGGCCTATTTACTGGCCGCTAAAAGTCAAGTTGATTAGTTAACGGGTTTGTTATACTTAGCTATTTTTGTTCGTCCATGCGACATCTTGGATTTCAGTTTGCAAAATTGTCTTTTTCTTCATTAGATCCTTGTATTCCCTTCTGATCCCTTTCCTTAGTTTTCTTTTCGTTCATGGGTTTTAGTGTTTAGTTGGTAAATTCGTTTGTTTTCTTTTTTTGGAATACTATCGTTTTAGTCGTAGTATGTATAATGGATATAATTTTTTCGATAATCTGATTTATTTTCATATTTCTAAAACATCGATCAGCTCTGGTTTGGCTTTCAGAATTTTTTGAATTTGTTGTTGATTTCTTCCAAGCATATCTATGGTTAAAAGCTCGTTTTTATTACCACTCACCATCTTGTTTTAAGTTTATTTGAAAGTTGGCCCTTACCATTCTATGCTAGCTGCCTTGTCAAACTTATGCACAAGCACATGTCAAGCACTGACACGTTTTTGCAAAGTGTTCTCCTATTTGTCAGTGTAAAATCTTTTTTCCATACCTTTGGGGCTACTTTTCTAAGAATGAGTGAATACAATATAGTTCTTGTTTTTGTAAATCCTTCAATAGTCTGTCTATCATCTTGCTTCGGTGACTTAATCCAAAGCTTCTCATGTTTCATGCATGCCCTTTTTTTCGTTGTCCTAGTTTTGCGAAATCGCCTGTTATGATGACTTGTTGCGTGCTCTCGAGTTGTCTGGCTTTCATTATATCCTCTTGGGATTTAATAATTAGAAATTGATCTTGTTTTAGTTACTGCATGTTTTCTCTTTTGGTTTATTAGGATCGCGGTTCCTCAAAGAGTGGTCTCTGTTGTGCTTTGATATAGTCAGTGGCCATATTTAAGGATGGCGGTCCTTTGTCCTTGCATTCTTGTCTCGCAGAGTCATAGGATATCCCATTTAAGGTTACCGAGTTTTTGTTCTAGGTGCGTTGTGTTTGCTTCAGTCACTCATTATTCTTATTGAGGTATAAGTTGCCATTAATAAATAATGTAAAACATAGAGGAAATGAGAAAGAAGTGGCCACTAGTTGGGTGGGGGTCAATCATTTTCTAGCCACGCTAGCGAGTGGTTTTGGAAAAAGGTAGGCTGATTGGGATTTTAGGAAATTTGGTGGGACGCTATATCTCCCTTTGGAAGCAAAATATCGAGATTCGGCTCATATTGGACAGGGGCCCTTCCCTGTAGCAGATTTTTCTATACTGGAACTATCTACCAGCCACATTTCAGAAGCAGGTGGGAATTTCCAGAAACGAAACACTTTTACATGTTTAAAAAACAAATCAGTAAAAAAATATACTAGAAAACTAGCGGACCAAATTTTCTTCATTTCATGCATTTCGATTGACAAATGCAGAAGATTTTGTCAATCCTATAAACGATAAACACTTAAAGGAAATCTGCTGTGTATTGAACACACTGTAGTGGTTGTACGTTTCAACGGACCCTAGTCTTAGACCCCTAGATAATTACGTCATTACTTACAATATTAATTTAATAAGAACAACTATTAATCATTAACTACCCTAACGTACTAATTCCGTCAGCAAATGATGTGAGAATGACGTCAGTAAATTGGCGTCAGTAAAACGTCAGCAATTAACGTCATTTAACCGTACAAAATTTGGATTTATGGCATTTCCCTTTGCCTTTTCTAATAATATTACAGACTAATTAGATCCGTATTTAGTTAATTTTTATCTAAAGAAATGTTTAAAATATCCCCCATTCACGTTGATATAATAATAAAATCGAATCAAATGACCCCATGAAAGGAAGTCAACGCAAGAAATATGAGAGGATCTTGCATACTCTTCTATAGGTCCTCTGAAGGAATTAAAAGGATTTCTAGAAATAAAGCTTAGGAATTGACAAACTGATGCAGTCGTTGAAGGAGCATGATCTCTTATGAAAAATTGCCATTTTGGCTAAATAACTCAATAACTTTTCTTATTTTAGGAAGAATCTTTCACTGAGGTAAGTTGAAATCCGTTTCCCCAGTTGAATTCCCTTGTAAAACAAGTTTATCCAATTGATTTGGAGTGTCAGAGTTTTTCGTTGCATACCTGTTAACGAAAATTGCTAGAGGCCATTTGAATATATTTTTTTGAAGTATGCGCCATATAACATTCGATCAATCGCAAATAATAAATTTTACGCCGGTGAAATCTTGATGATTTCTAAGCAACGATTTAAAGGTAGAACCTCAGAAATAAGAGCTGTGGCTGTCATCCCATATAAACTTTCCAGCTTTAGCTAAAAGTTTTTTGAAAATAATTATTTCTTATGGTTAGGCATTTTGCAGACTTCCGAATAAGTAAAACTTGAGTACCAAGAAGCTCCATCAACGCTAACGATATTATTGACGTTTTTCGCGTAAAGAATTGTTTTCGATTTTTAATCCTTCTTATTTCTGCTGCTAGGTGATGGAAAATACTTGAGGAGATTCGCGATTAAAGATCTTTTTGTGAAGCATTATTGGTATTGAATATCAATCGAAGCAACAACAATTGTGCAATTTTGGGGTCCGTTTGGGGGACAACCGACTGGTCTGAGTTGAATCAACAACTGAACGATTCTCTTTAGGTCTCTCTCTCCAGCTGGATGCTCTCCCAGCTGGATGTCTTACAAATGTGTTTAGTATTCAACTAAACTTTAGATTTTCACTACAATTTGCGCATATCTGATTATAAAATCAGACCGTGGCCAGTAGCTGAAGGGTTCCCTAAATAGCGGAACATTAGGTTGATGTTCCTAGAAGCGTTGATTAAAAGAGTATATGTACTCTTTCAATCAACGCTAGAAGGATCCAACGGAATGCTGTATTTATCGTTAGAAAGAAAGCGAATGCGTCTTTCAAGGAAGGCTATTCATTATTATCTATTTTCATTGAAGCGATTTATATTTATGCAATGAGAAATTAAAACACCAAAATAAATGTAGAAACTTGATATTTGTGCATTCGCGACATTGTATTTTGAGTTAGCATGATTGCATAATAAGACCGCATCTAATTTATTTGCATTGGTAGAAATATAAAAAACATACAAAAATATGTTTCCAGTGTTAGAGAAAAATAAACGCGTTCGTGCTAACAAATTTACGAAAAAAACGTAAATATTACGCAAACGATGTGAGCGCAAAAGGCCATACGGTTTACACAAAAAGTTAAGCTTCTTGGTGTTTTATAACGATGCTAGAGATTTATTTTTGTACGTATTTATGGATATTTTATACTAAACCATGATAAACTATATACAGCTCATATCGATGGACGAATTGACATACACAATCCTTTTAAAAAATATGAGCTATTTGGAATTTATTTATTCGCGTTTCAACCCGTCATAAATATAAAAAAATGTGTTTTCCTATTTGTTAGACTCTTATTTATTTGTGATATTTACATATAATATTAATTTGAAATTCAGCGCGAAAAAACAGCGTGTAGTTGCGTCTGTAGATTTACACGAATGGAAATTTTTGTAGAAGAAATTGTCGTTTCCTATGATTTAAAATTATATTAGATGTATCACATGAAATATATGTAAATTTTGTTGCAGAATTACGCAAATGCAAGTTATTTTTGGAACTTTTTTAATGAGTGGTGAATTCTTAGTTTTTAATGAGTTAATGAGAGAGATGTTAGACAGTTAATGAGAAGACTTTCTTAGTGAACTTTGTTAATGTTATAAAGAGAATAGCTGTTTTAAAATTTACCCTGTATAACAGGTAAATTTTAAAACAGATGTTCTCTTTGTAACCTGTATAAGGTGTTTCATTTAAATTAAGCAAGTTGATACGCACTTCCGGTATAACCGGAAGTGTGGTCATCTTGAAAATATTTTAGGCGGCGTGCTCCAATTACCTCGACGGAACACTGCCCAATTTTCAAATTTCTGCTACAGTTTGCCAGATATCGATCGCGGCGGTTCCCGGTGGGACAACCTGTATAATTCGTGGTCCAATCCAGTCTTCAATAGCAATAGCTGTCGCCTGTAGATAGTCTGTTCTGTATCTTCTTTCTAAGTGATCTTTAATAGTGTGTTTAATAATAATAGATGTGCCTGCGTGGGCAGTACCATCAGCATGGTTCTCATTTGCTGCATGAGATTTTCATCAAATTTTTTTAAATCTTTAATTAGTTATATAAGTACTTAATTCACTTATAGGGGATTTGTCCTTTCTCATAAGATCTCCTTCTGAAAATTTGTCATGTTGTTGCCTATTTGCCATTGGTAGGATGCAGCACAGTTCTAAATTTTGTTGTCTTCTCTTGTCTGTCTGTGTTTTTGTCAATCTGTCTATTTTCAATTGAGCTGTATGAACAGCGAAAAAATTCTTAGTGGTCTTCAACACTTGTTGTCTCCTTCTCGCCATACAATATATATTTAATATAATTGATTAATTGAACTGATGATTGAAAAACATAATTTCTACGGATTGAATTTAATTTGACTGCATACCAAAACCAAGTGCGTTATACCCTGTATAACTGGTAAATTTTATCGTACTTTTTATCGCATATTTATTATATTAGATATAAATGTTTTATAACAATTTTCAACTGATTTTGAGTTAATAACCAATATTGATTGAACTTTGGCCACCGCGTTTTTGCATCTAATTTGAAATTTTAAATGGAATGTCGTACTTTTTATTGCATATTCGAACTATTCGCACCATTCTAAGGCTATTCGATATATATGTTCTATAATGATTTATGGTTAGGAATAAGTAAGTTCAACAATATTTAATGTATATGTAAAGACATACATGGAACGATCATAATGGTTTTGATGTATGTGCCACGAACATTCATGTTTATCAAATGAAAGTTCCAGGTATATACAGGGAACATCATTTTTCTATGTGGAAAATCTCATTAAACAGGTGAAATTAATTAAAATGGAAATTTATTGTTTTGTAGTAAATAGCAACAAATATCCTTTTGGAATTACCGGTCAAGTGTTTGCCTTTCAATACACATATATGACTGGATATGAATCATATGAACGCGCTTCCTTGAAATAATTCTGTACTAACTTGTAATTTCTGGAACAGTAGCTCTGGTAATTTTCTGAGTTGTTGTCCTCACGGGCGATGGAGTTGGGATAGCTGAAAGTAATATCAAAATTATTAAATCTAGAATGTGTTAATTGCATGAACTGCGTGTTGCTGAATGCATTAAGTAATAATTTATTTTCACCTGTATTGAATTTGGATTCAACAACGTCAACATAGAGATGTTCTGAAATATACTACATGCTAACGATTTTTTATATCTGATATAATGTATCATGATACATTGTACCGTACGTATTTCTTGTATATGAATACAACGTAATATAAATATTCCATATTTAAGTTCGTTTGACAAAGTTATTCAAAAACCGAAGTGCGAAATAACCATCAAGTTCTAAATACATACTAGTACGAATCTATACCGAATGATTGTAAAGGACTATGTGCGTGTTTGGAAGAGGAAGCAAAAGTTGTACTTTTAACCAAGATTTTGTAAAAATGTTAATTAAAATCCAATGCCTTGGATCGGGCCAATGCATTTTAAGCAGCCCTCCTCCTAAATCGACAGATTTCAGTCTTCTCAAAATCTAACAAAAAGCAGCCGATTTAGGATTCAGTAAACATGTTTTTCGATGCATTAGGATATATTTCTGTGAGATTTCACATTTCAATTTCATGCATAATTGTTCTTGTATTGGTAGTCAAATTTCTTCACTGATGACTTGCGACTAAAGTTTTAGCGTACAGGCTAGGCTATATTATAATTTAATCTTGCAGCATCTGGTCTTTCAAACATTGTTAATTCTAGGATTCAGACTATTGCATTTCCAATTGTCAGTGAATTACCTGGGTTAAGTACTGTTTTTGGAAAAATAATGTTGCATTTTCTTATGCATGATAAAATTTAAACCAAATCATAGTGGCCATTCCTGTAATAAAGTTATGTTTCCTTTAGGTTTGGTGCAGCTTTTGATATCAATTTTTTCAAAATTTTAGTTTTAATGAAAATACCACATCTACTTTTAATTAAAAGTTTATTACCTAAATTTGATACAAAATGCGTTTTAATTCGTATTTCAATTACATACCGATTATGTCAATAAATGTGTGCAAATAGGCCTAACTAATTGCAGTTTGCTTTTATTTGCAAATATTCAATCAGAAATTTTGGAACATTTTAAACATGAACCTGGTTGCGTCGAATCTTGATTTGTGGAGTCTAAAATACATTATTTGTACTACTACCTGAAACTTTTCCGCATACAAGCACAAATACCCCATAAATCTCTGAATCTGTGTTAGTTAGTCTAGTAGAAACAAAATGCATTAGGTTTCCAAAGGTCCAATTAACTGAGCTAACTGAATCAAAGAATGCTGATGACTTCAGCATTCTTTGATTCTAATAGAAATATAACTAAATAAAACTAATAGAAATAATTTGAAAAAAATTGTGCTCAAAATTAAAGAAAAATAGCAACGAATTAAAAATTATTTCAAAGTTTTGTGGATACTTTTTTCGAAGATACATTTTTTAAAGCAAACATCTAATATGCAAGAAAAATGGCTCCTTCCGGCACTTCAAATGTCCTTAGTTATTGTGTTGCAGTGTGTAAGTAAGGACTCGTTATTCGAATACTCGATAAGACCGGAAATAAGGAATGCCAAAAAGAAAGCGATTTATTCTGGCATTTTAGTATTTTGCCGAAGTCGTGACGTATTCTAAAACGACATGGTAGTAACGTGAAAACTTCAATTATTTTATTGATTTTGCATTTGGTTTTATTATGTAGTAAAATTTAATTCAATCCGTAGAAATTATGTTTTTCAGTCATTAGTAAATCCATTATATTAAATATATGTTTAAAGGCAAGGAGACAACAAGTGTTGAAGCACACTAAGAATGTAATCGCTGTTCCTACAGCTCAATTGAAAATAGGCAGATTTACAAAAACACAGACAGACAAGAGAAGACCACAAAATTTAGAACTGTTCTGCATCCTACCAATGGCAAATAGGCAACAACATGGCAAATCTGGAGATCTCATGAGAAAGAACAAAACTGTTATAAGTGCATTAAGTACTTATATAAAATATGATGAAAAGTCTCATACAGCAGATGAGAACCATGCTGATGGTACTGCCCACGCAGGCACATCTATTATTATTAAACACACTATTAAAAATCACTTAGAAAGAAGGTACAGAACAGACTATCTACAGGCGACAACTATTGCAACACCAAAACAACTTTAAAGAAGAAATTACGGCACTCAACCCAGATTGGAAGCGCGTTTTGCGCCAAACAGCGTGTGCGCCGAAGCATTTGAACCCCCACCCATCCCCACGCATGATCACACACGGCTGGGCTGCATAAATACGACAGAGAATCCAGCAGTTGAACCAGTCTTAGTCGGAAAGCACGGGAGGTCACTTCGCCCACTGCCTCATCGCCTTTGATAATGTCCACCGCAGTTCTAGACGAAACGTCAGGAAGAAATTCCCATAGACCACGGCTTCAAAGCCCGGAAAACAATCCTAAATATCATTTAACCGGCCGTGAAAGCCTTCATAGTCAACAGAAATCGTTGAATGACGAAACCTATTTTGAAACTCATAACCTCAAATTATTAATTTGTTTACAAATTACAAAAACATACATTGGAGTCTGAAACTCTAAACAAGTGCATGTGTAATCACCTTATTATGCACTCTTCTCGAGCAGCTTCTCGTATTCGGTTAATTAAATCCTGCTCAATTTATACCGGTGTTCAGTAATCCATTGGTGTATCTTACATACGTGGTAGCCATATTTATTTGGTGCCTGTGAAAGTGCCAGTTGTTGTGCAATGTTCTGAGTGCCCCTGAAAGACTCTTTTGCATTTGTTCCTTTATGTCCGGAACCCGAACATCTATTATCGTCCTCCATCTTCCTGGAAGCACTCTCCTCGCCCTTTGTTGGCGAGGGTTCTTTCAGCTTCTGCTATGTTACTGTAGCATCTCCCCTGAACTAATTGCATATCCGCAAATTCGAGAAAAGAAATTCAAAGGAAGTCACAGTTTGACAAATTATTGTTATTAATGACAATGGCTATCCATCTGTACCTATCTGCTAATGATGAAAAATATAATTGCCGCTTTGACTTTTCATCAAAAACTTCTGGGAGTCAACTTTTTTAGTATCAAAAATGAAATTCGATTTTCAACTATTAATATCTTCTAGAAATTATTGAAAAAAAATGTCAATATTTTCCTTCAATATTACCTTTTAAGTGAGTCCCTATCACCCCTTAAAAAAATGACGCCAATTTTGAATCACTCTGTATATTATAACATTTTTGAATTCTACTTCAAATTCTAAATGTATTTAGAATATTATTAAAAAATTACAGTTGCAGCCACTCTAATAATTATTCATTTTTTGGGACAACAAAATTTCTCATATTTAGTTTGAGTCGCATTTATTGTTGAAAAGGACTTAGTTTAATGGAATTTCTAAAATGTTTTGAAAACTATTAATACAAATTGTTAAAAAAATAAGTTTCAAAATACAGTTGAGAAAACCGCCCAAAATCAATTTTTCCAAAAGGAAACATCCATTTTTGATAATTTCATCTTATTCAGTATTAAAAATAAATGTAAGTTTGTGTAACGATGTCGATTCCACAAGTGTTTAGTTTTCGATATATTGCCAATTTAATGTTTTTATATGACTATCTTGCAGTATCTTCTTTTAAGTCATATCACTTTTAGGTGCTATAACGAAAGTGGCGATTTTTCATACAATCAAATGCCCAAAGAATGCTTACAGCTGTCAGTTACCTTCTGAAAAAAATTAATAACCATGCCCGAAGGCTTAAATTATACAAATAAAGACTATTTAAACTTATTTATTATGTATGGAGAATGTGATAAAGTTATATCAATAAGATAAAATGGCGAAAATAACCAAAAGTACCAAGGAAGATAGCGACTAACATTGGCACTGTTCGTACATCTTAAACAGGCATACGCCATTGATCAGTTCTAACAGGAAGTACGGTAAACTAAATACGACGTAAAATGATGCGAGACGCAATACCAGCTTGTAGTCTGAACGAGTAAATTAAATATCACTAATATCGTTTACAGAACAAAGTTCCCAGCAACCAGATAAAATAGAGTATATGGTTTTTATTGCTTATGTATTTTACTGATACAAAAACCAATAAAATCTATTGCAGTAAAACTTCTCGTAGCGTACAGTAAACTTGTAATAAAATCGTCGGTTATGTACAGATATCCGTAGTGGTAAAGTCTATCAACGTATCCGTAATAATAAAACATTTGATGACAAAATAATGCTTTTTTATTATCATCGAACATAACATATTGTAACGGAAATGGCCTGGGGTACTCACGTTTGAAATTGGGGGATCAAAATTCATGGTATTTCAGTAAATGGGAGACCCATTTGCGCGCCATTTACTGTCAAATATGACACTGACAAGCGAAAAATTTCGCACCTGGTCTGCAGATTTCGAGAACCTTCTGGGTTACCTGGAGAAAACTATATAAGCGGCGACGAGAACCAGAGGGGAGTTTAGCTGAAAATAAATATGTTCAAATAGTAGTAGAGGGGAGTCATTTTTGTGCTGATTGTGACCCAAGAATGTTGTGTCATTCAGTTGCTCATCATCTCTCGACCGATGAACAACACTCCCAAACTGCTTGTCTGTTTGTTAATTTGGAACAAAGTGAGTCATCCTCGCGTCCCAACTTCAGTGTTGAAGCTTCGCCGCTTCGTGTTTGCCACCCCACCGGAACCACGTGTTTACACAAAGTTTAATTAAAAAGTTCGAGCACGTGCCTCCTTCAGGGGCACGCGCAGGTCCCCAAGGGCACCGGAAAGCCCCTGCTCAGTCACCAGTCCATCGTTGGCGTTGCCCACTTGAAATACCGGCACTTCCTCCTACGTTATCTCCAGCAATAATGGGCGATTCTTTCAGCGACGAAAGCCGCGATCGCTCCTCATTAACATCAAACAGTTCTAGTACCTCGAGGAAAATGGGTAAGAACAAATCCCTATCCGCAAAATTCCCTACCAGAGACTCTGACCTAAAGATTCTCAGAGCCGAAAATAAAGCCATGCGGCTTCGAAACTCCAATCAGGACGACCGCATTAAGACCCAAGCCGCCCAAATTCAAGAGCTAACCCGGTTACTCGCTTTGGAGTACCAAAAACACACGACCCCTCAAACTGCCCAGCCCCCCCAGACTGCCCCCGTTCAGACAGTGTCTGAAAAGATGGAAGTTGAGGAATTCCCGGCCCTGCCGACCAAGACCGCACTCAACTTCCCAAAAACTTCCAACGCGGCCCTCCACCATTACATGGTGCAGCACGCGAAC